CTCAGAATTCGAAAATAAAACATCTAGAAAGCAATAAAAATACAAAGGGGAACTCAAAATATAAAGTTCAGATATCTCCTCCTAATCTCGGCCTCCTTCTCCCAAGTCGCCCCGAACTCATCATGTCGGCTCCACTGCACCTTCACCGAACTCACTGCCCGGTTCCTCAGCTGATGGACCTTCTGTCCAAAATGGCCACCAGTACCTCCTCATAGGTAAGGTCTCACTCGACCTGCAGCTCGCCGAAGTCCACCACATGGTCAGGATCATGCACATATCTCCGCAACATGGAGACGTGGAACACATCGTGCACTCCAGACAAGTCCGGTGGTAAAGCCAGCCGATAAGCCAATTCCCCGACTCGAGCAAGGATCTCAAAGGGCCCGATATAGAAAGGTCTAAGCTTCCCCTTCTTCCCGAAGCGAATCACACCCTTCATGGGCGAGAACTTCAGGAAGAATGATCACTAACCGCATACTCGTGTTCCTGTCTCTTCCGATCGACATAGACTTTCTGCCTCTCCTGGGCAGCTCAGATAGTCTTTCAGATCTCCTCTACTGTTTCTGAAGTCCTACGATCGAACTCCGAACCCATGATCTTCATCTCTCCGACCTCATCCCAATATAGCGGAGTCCGGACCTTCCGTCCGTACAACGCCTCATACGGGGCCATCTTGATCGAAGAGTGATAGCTATTGTTGTAAGTCAGCTCGACCAAAGGAAGGGCATACTCCCAAGTTAGGCTCCGGTCCAAGACCACAACCCTCAAAATATCCTCCAAGTACTGGATCGTCCGCTCCGACTGACCATCTATCTCGGGGTGAAAGGTTGTACTGAATTCCAACCTCGTCCCCATGGCTCGGTGCAAAGTCCTCTAAAACTGGCCCGTGAACTTTGGGTCTCGATTAGACACAATTTCCATGTGCACCCCATGACGTTTCACAATCTCCTTAACGAACAACTCAACATAATCACTCGCCTTCATAGTCGTCCGAACGAGCAAAAAGTGGAAAGATTTCGTGAGTCGATCCACAATCACCCAAATAGAATCATGCCCGGACCTCGATTTAGGCAATCTCACTAAGAAGTCCATGGTAATGCACTCCCACTTCCACATGGGAACCTCAAGTGGCTTCAACAGCCCTCTCAGTTTCTGGTGCTCAGCTGTAACACCCTGCTATCTTACTAGTATCAGAGTAAAATTTTCGCAAAACTTTTCTAAAAAAAATATTCAACAGCTTGCAAATTCTAAACTCGGGATGCTACTGAAAAACCTATCTAAACTAGAGATCTGTTTTCTTTAAACTGGGTATAACAAATTAGGTTAGACATAAAAAAGAAAAAAAAAACAAAAACAAAATATCAAACATGCATGCGATACTGGACCCAAGTCATGCTAATGGACTGGGTAATACTGCTATGCTGAAATGCTAACATTCAAATTCGATAACTATAACTGAACTGCAAGCGATAGAAACTAAACATGGTGAAAATAATTATACAGACTGAAATGTATAAATATCCCACGAGATTGGCGAACTATGCCAAGTCTGCAACGGGCGAGTGCCGAGGCTTGCCCGGCGAACAAGTCTGCCACATGCGAGTGCCAGCAAGCCATTGATGAAGTTGCCCACCACACGCGAGTGCCAAAGCTCATACAGCGAATGGCCACAACCCGCGAAGCCCGGCGAATCCACCCGCCCAGTGCAAGTATCCGATCTGCACAGCGAGTCCGTCCTCTCTAAGGCGAGTGTCTCCACAAGTGGTACCATCCATGCGATCCATTGGTGAATTCGTACACTCTAAAGCAAGTGTCTCCACAAATACGGTTGCTCATGCTGTCCGCCAAGAGAATCTGTCCACTGCAAAGCAACTACTAACTTTTAATATTGCATGTTCCTAGTGTGTGTGGGGTATATGGAGTATATAAACTAGAGTTGTTAAACGAAACGAGCCGCTCGTGAACTGAGCTTGTCTTGTTAAGGCTTGAGTTTGACTTGACTCATTTGATAAATGAGCTCGCTTAAAGCTCGTTTTTTTAATGATTTGAGCTCAGCTTGGCTTGTTAAGGCTCAAAAAATAAATTTTAAATATTTTTTTTTTTACAATTTGAATCATTAAAGCTCGAGATTGACTCGTTAACACTCGAACTCGGCTAGTTAATATTGATAAACGAGTCAAGCTCAAACCCGAGCTCAATTTTTGGCTCCTTTTCTTGACAAGTTGAGCCTGGCTCGGCTCGTTAAGTGATCAAGCTCGAGCACCCTCAGCTCAAGCTCAGCTCGGCTCGGCTCATTTACATGCCTAATATATACTTTTCTTAAGTCATGTTTTTGGAATACTTGTACTTGGGATCATTTTCATAATTTTTCTTCCTCTCTCTACTTTTGTTTATCTCTCTGAGGGCTCTAAGACCCAATTTTTATTTTTCCACTTCTCCATAAGGATTGCAACTTTTCGGCTTATTTCTGCTTGTGTATAATACTAGAGACTTGGGGACTTAATTTAAGGTTCAATCTCGTAAGCTATCTTAACTTTGCTTAGTTATACTTCAGTGATATATTTTTGAAGCAAAGTTAGGAACTTTTATTAGTAGAGTAGGCTCATCCTTAGAAGATAGGAATTATATGATTTTGTAGTCAACTGCATTCAATACTCGATTGATGTTTTATATTGGTCCATCAAATGCTTAATTGCATGTTTTCGAACCTTTCAATATCTCATTTCCATCTTGGATTTTGGGTTGCTTAGTCCTTTTTATTTTATTTTTTATTTTTATTTCAATCTTGTGATTTCCTTGGCACTCTTGCTTTTCATTATTATTTTTCTTTTATTTTTTATTTTTATTTCAACTTGGTATTAGTATATTTGGGACTTTATTTTTTCTTTTTTTAATCAATCATTATTCGAATTTGATTACGACACCTTTCTCGAGAGAGACGACGAGGTTGGGATTTATCCTATGCTCGACTAAAAACTACACAATAATATAGCATTGCTACTGGGAAAGGCGAGTAGGATATTGGATTTAGACTCTGAGACGTTCTGATTTCTGTTGATGGAGATCGTCTAAATTGTTCGTCGGTGTTCATCCCGTTTCGATCGTCATGTATCTCAACATTCAAGTTGTGTCTCGCATCGCCATGGGCTCCACACCATGTTTGCTGGCTGAACGGGGGGTTGTCGGAAAGTAGTCGAACTGTTAGTGGACGTCGGAGGTCGCTGATGGTCGGGACTGCACGGCTGTTCCCGCTGGTGGACGCCGCTGCCCGGG